AAAAAAAACTTAATTACACTGCGAATTAAGCCCCAAACATGATATATAGATCGGAAATGGATGTGTCAATGCTCTACCACCATTATAAAAAAGATCAATAGTATTTTACCGCCAACAACCAATTGTTGGCGGCATAAAGGTCAATTATTTACAGTCCACCCTCAGGCAATGTACACCAACCTAGCTGCTCCGCATAATGATACCTTGCCACATTTTAGTTCTACACTATCATTTGTAGTGTTTTCTTTTTGATTTTATCATCGGTAACATTGTCAAGACAATTAACTGGTAGCCACCAAAAAGTAGGAGTTTTGAGGAACTTAAACGGGAATTCTTTTGCATTTCACATTTGTTGCATATATTTACGCTAGGGTTCATGCAGATATTACCTGTTTCGAATTGAAAACAAAACTGTGCCAGTTTGCCCTCTGATTGCGAAATGAACAATAATTGTGCATTTACTTTCCATAGTTTTTAACTATTCCTAGCCTTAATTCGGATTATTCCTATCTAATGGAGCTGGTGCTTCTGTTTGAAATTCTGGAAGTTATTTGAAAAATACCATTGATCTTCTTATAATGGTGCTAAGAACATTGAAACATCTGTAATCTTTATGCCATGTTTGAGGCTTACCCAGTTTGCATCGTAGTTAAATTCGACAACGAGACGCCAAATTACAGTTCCTCGGCAGCGCTGGGACAGCGGCCGCAATATGACGTAGCCGTCGTAAGAGCAGGAAGCGGGCAGGCCCTGAGATGCGCTATCAGGCTCGATCGCGCTAGATTTCATCAACCACCTGTCTGGTACGATATCGCCCGAGAGAGCACCGGGTATCTAACGATACGCACCCAAGCATGGATCAACCCTAATTTAATTGCAGGAGCCGTTCCACATACTAGAATATTGAGAAAGATACGAGGTTAAAGAAAGAATAGAAGTTAAAGAAGAGCAAAAAGGGATAGTATATGATAGGCGAACAAGAGTAGCGGCTTGAGAGCTAAGAAGAACGTCTATGAAACATGAAAGACATCCAAAGTAAAACAAGATATGCCTATGTGTCAATCCAGAACTGCTTTTTTCTACAATGGGCCATTCAGTTTATACTCATATTATTCTTGTAATGTCACGTACAATTCTCTTGTCAATTTACCACTAGCAAAATCACCTTAAATCTCTAGTTCTGCTAACCAACAACTTCGCTGCTTTTTCCTCAGAAGATAACGAGTTTTGGCTATCTGAGCTCACTTAGTCGGTGTCCCCACTCTAGTCGCCTAGCTCGGCAGATATCAATCCTATGCTGATGTTGTAGGCATATTTATAGAAACACCTTAACAAAAAACGTTCTATATGGTTATAAGCATCATACATGCGATAGGATAAAAAATTGGTCACCCCACTCACTTTACCCTGGTACAGGAGGCAATGATCCCCCCTCTCCCGCCCTTTCTCTCTTCACCAGGCCCAAATGAAAAGATAGTAATCGTTTGAGAAGGTAAAACAATCTTGTATATTTACAGGTCCTCCGCCAAATAGACGGTGATAAATATAAACATTGAAAACTATTTGCATCACAACAAAGTAGCCATGAAAATATTACAAAAGAATTATGCTAAAGAAATGGTTTTTACAGAACTACATTCGACTGAACATCCTGTTCTCGTAGCTGTCGTCAGTTTGGTATACACTAGAAAGAAGAGAATCGCCCTTTTCGAATGTGTGGTACTTCAATTTCTCAAGATACCTAGAATTTATTGTAAGCTAGCCTTGCCACTCAGCTGTGTTGCACATTAGAAACCTAGAAGATGAATTGATTGTGAGAGTAGTAACAATACTGAAGCAACCTCCTCTGAACAT